GTAACAGCTCACAAAATAAAATCAGCATCCCTGAGTCCAAACGGATGCAGCCGAGCAGCTGAATGAGGAGGTACACAGAGGAGAGGCCAGCGCCTCCCAGCAGAACAAACATAGGGGGAAGAGGGAACTAGAAAATTACCCTCTACCCAGCCCCTCAGAAATCAGTGCTGCAGGCCAGATTCACTGCTGAACCTCAAATCTCAGCACACAGGTCTGCGGAGGGACAAGAGACTTGCCAAGTCCTAAAGTATTTACTAATTACCAAGGGAAAAATAATAACATTCCCAAGAAGAGACAGGGCAGACATTGCCTTAACCCAGTGATCAGATATCAGCACGGCTTTTGTTGTATTCCAGCTAAAACTGAGTCACCAACCCAAACATGGAAAACACCAGATAAACCCAGATGGAGGGGCATGCTTCAAAGTGACAGACAGATGGCTTCAAGGCACCCAGGCCAAGAGAGACGAGGAGAGCCTGAGGAACTGTCCTAGACAGGGGGGAACCAGGAGCCAGGACACCTGATTGCAACATGGGACCTGAGATTCAACACAAGAACACGGAAAAGGGCATTCCTGGAAAAACAGGTGCAATCTGAACTGGTCTGAAGCAGAGTTAATAGCATTACATCATCATGCAGCTCCTGGTTTTGATGGTTGTAAGGTGGCTAGACAAGACGTTAACTGGAGGGGAAGAGGATGGAGGATATAAGGGAACGCCATACTTTCTTCCCAACTTTTTTATGAGTCTAAAATTATTTCACAGTGAATGATTTAGAAATATTATATATTTGTAACTGAATATTATATATAGTAAAATAAATGGTTGGAACTAACACAAGTGCAAAAATCTAAAAACTAAGTCTGAGCTCAATAATGGCTGAGAGACCAGGCGTGGTCGCTCATGCCTGTAATCCCAGCATTTTGGGAAGCCGAAGTGGGTGGATCACCTGAGGTCAGGAGTTTCAGACCGGCCTGGCCAACATGGTGAAACTCCATCTCTACTAAAAATACAAACATTAGTCAGGCATGGTGCCACGTGCCTGTAATCTCAGCTACTCGGGAGGCTGAGGTGGGAGAATCACTTGAACCCAGGAGGCGGAGGTTGCAGTGAGCTGAGATCACGCCACTGTACTCCAACCAGGGTGACAGAGCAAGACTCCGAATCAAAAAAATAAAAACTAAAAAATAATAATAATAACGACTGACAGAGGCAGGTAGACGGAAGCACAAGAACAGAGCTGCAGCCTCAGAGGCAGTGCTTCCGTCACGCCCACTGAAGGTTGTTATTGATGATAGCCCTGAGGTTTCAACAGCACTGTGGTGTCGGAGCTGGAAAGGCAGACTTTAGCTCTTCTCAGTGTGGTGTGACATTCAAGCGAACTCCACCTAGATCCTGCTCCCCTTTTGAAGGGAAATGTAGATAAAACGGGAAAATTCCCAAAAGCTAGGAAATATTTGCTTCTAGGCTGGAGAAGACAGTATTGAGGAATGCAGACCTCCTTCGGGAAGAGCCCCACAAGACAGGACAGCCTGCAGGGACCTTAACATACCCAGCAGCCTTTTGCTACTGCTGTCTAAATAGTGAACATCAGAACACATGCAGAGAATGGGAGATGCCCTGTGCTTTCTGAGAGGGGACTGGACACACCTGGAGCTCCCAGCCCTGCAGCTGTCACAGGCCAGGACGGCAAGGCAGCCCACACATTGGCTGAAGCCACGCCCAGGCCAGAGGGAAGGCCCCATCACTGCCCCAGCCCTTCCCAGGACCGCAAGGCAGCCCACACATCGGCTGATGCCACACCCAGGCCACAGGGAAGGCCCCATCACAGCCCAGCCCTTCCCACTGGAGACACGGCCAGCCACGGCCCCTCCCACCCTGTGGACATAAGGACGAAAATGTGCCAGGGAAGGTGCCTGGGGTGTCAGGCAGGCCTCTCCCAGTTAGTTCAATTTAGTTGAGATTTTAGGAGAGCATTTACAAAGCCAGGCTACGTGTGTGGAATCTCCTGAATTGAATTAAAATACACATTTGGAGTTTGAAGCATGCTCTTATTTTTATGCCATAAAGACACTGTGGGGCATGTGAGGTGGCTCATGCCTGTAATTCCAGGGTTTTAAGAAGCCAAGGCAGGAGGATCACTTGAGCCCAGGAGTTAAAGATCAGCCTAGAAAACACAGCAAGACCCCCGTCTCTACAAAAAATCTAAAACTTAGCCAGGCATGGTGGTGCGCACTTGTGATCCCAGCTACTCAGGAGGCTGAGGCAGGAGAATCACTTGATCCCAGGAAATCAAGGCTACCATGAGCTAGAATGGCACCACTGCACTCCAGCCTGGGTGACAGAGCAAGACTCTGTCTCAAAAACAGAGAGAGAGAGAGAGAGAAAGAGAGACTGAAATTTCTTTAGTTTCTGAGATACTTTCAAGACTTCAGTGGTCAATATGTTAAGAATTTGAGATCTAGCCATGTCTAGATGATATATTAATCTCACTTTTGAGTAGGAGGACAAAATCTCTTTTCTGAAGAACATTTTTGCTGAATTCCTCTTTGCCTGCTTCTAACTCATGTTGATTAAGTTTCTAACCTTCCCTTAAAGTGACATCTTCTATAGCCTCTGATGTATTACTCAGCATTTTAAACTAAAGAACAATTGTCTTTGCTTATGTCTGCATTTCACAAAATTCTCATTGCACTCTATTGATTCCATGTCACCCATTAACACAAAATATTCCAGGACCCACAGCACCAGTCTTTGGCAGCTCCATTCCCTGGCTTCATAGGTTTTGTGAAGTGAATTATTTAGCCTCAAATGGCTAAAGTATATTTCAACAAATTTTCCAACAAATTTTCATATTATTCTTTTTTTCAGTTGCTATCTAGTAAGAACGCATTTAGTCATCAAGCAGTGAATTACAATCATATATAATGGCTACCTAATATAGTTTCACATTGTTTAATAGTCAGATAGTAAGAAGTTAAGGTCTTAAAGTTATAGTTTAGTTACAAAGGTGCTAAAGAAATGCCTGTTTTGTTGTATAATGAATTTGTTTAGGGAAGAGAAAAGAGAAATAATGTTACTTTTACAAGTCTGTGGAATTTACAATAACACCTCCTTCCCTTTTTGTATCTAGAGATGCTTTCTACTGATCCAGGGTCACTGAAGAGTCAGATGCATGAGCTGTGCCCCCATCTGCCTGCCTGTCCAGGACCCATCTCCTCCAATGGGCTTGGAGCTTCTCGGGAGAGCACTGATTAGAACCAGACCAGCCAGCATTCTAATCCCTGCTCTTTCACTTAGTAGGGCTGTGACTGACAAAATGACATGTGTCTCTCCCTGAACCCCAGTTTCCACATCTATAAAATGTGGGCATAAATACCTAACTCACAGGGCATTTGTGAGTAGTAGATAAAATAACAAGCGTTGAATGTGTAACACAAAGTACCTGCTTGTTAACACTAACACGACCTATATCTACACACACATTTCCTCTGTGTTCACACACATACACAGGGCGTGTGTTTAATCCTGTGTGTAGACGTGTGTTTAATCTCTGTACCTCCCAGACCCAGCACAGTGCATGGCCTGTACTACAAACCCCACAAGGCTGAAGAGGGGGGTGGCCTCTCCCAGAAGATGAACATGTTCACGACGGATGGCAGGACACACATTACAACGGTGTACAACTTACAGCAAGACAATATGCTGTTCTATAGCCTCTGATGTATTACTCAGCATTTTAAACTAAAGAACAATTGTCTTTGCTTATGTCTGCATTTCACAAAATTCTCATTGCACTCTGCTTTTGTTGTATTCCAGCTAAAACTGAGTCACCAACCCAAACATGGAAAACACCAGATAAACCCAGATGGAGGGGCATGCTTCAAAGTGACAGATTAAAAAAAGACCCTGCCTTTAATACACTTTCCTAACAAATCCCTTAACATGGGATCTATAGTGACTTCATTTGAGTTTGAATACCAGACTAGTAAACTTAAAAGACGTGCGAGATTCCAAGCACGATGTACTGACTCCATTACAAGATGAAAGCATAGTATGTCAAAATTGAAATAGGAAAAAAAGCTAAGAACATATACGCTTTCAACACTTGAGTTTACTTGCAAATACAGTCACCTAAGCAAACCAGTGATATTAGGGCTGTTAACATTTGGGTGCCTTGGCACCATCAAATAATTGGCCTGAACACGTCATCCTTTGGAAAGCGAAGAGATCGATGAAAAGCCACCGTCCCTGCTCTGTCTGTACTCCCCACCCACCTGAAGTCCACTTTTATCTGCAGGGATGTCTAAGGGGTTGGTGACCCTGATGCGAGTCCTGTTTTCGGGGACTCCTCAATTCAGCCAGCGGATTACCTGGTTGTTTCAGATGTTGGCTTGTGCTTTCGCTGGGAAGGAACCAGATCCCCGGGGCAGGGCAGCAGGGACCTGCCCAGTGCTATGGATTGCATGAGAAGTCTCTGGTAGTTTTCTCAGTGACCCGTACCAACCCAGAGAAGCATGAAATACAGAAAACCTTGCTGTGTCTTCAGACTTAGTCTTGTTTTCTTCCTTTTTTAATTTTAATGATTGGGCTTGTTTTGGTCCTTTTACTTTTAATCAAATCTAGTGGGAATCCAACAGACTGGAAATTTGGAGTCTGGTTTCTACACATTATTTATTAGTTCTGCCTCAGTTCTCTGTTCGCTTCCAGAGAAAATAATTTGTGTGTTACTAGCAAAGCCACCTTTGGTGACTGAGACATTGGAGAAATTTGTCTGTAACACTGTCAGGAATTTTGCCTCTGTCTCCTTCTTCCACGTCCTCCCCACTGCCATGAGGGACCCCTTCCCTGAGCTAAAAGTTGTCATCACTGCTCAGAATTATAAAATTTTGAGAGGAAATGGCAGTGCCTTGATGTTCCCCAGGGAACGCCTGGTCCCAGTTGTGCGCCCTGGACAGCCCCGTCTACGGCATGGCTTCCATCGGCTGATGTCACACTTACCTGTGTTGCCAGTTCACTTTCATTTCTTCTGTAAAATACTTCATGAAACACTGAAGTCGTATTCCTTCTGGGGTGCAGAGTATCTTCAGTGGAGAAGCAGATTTCCCTGCAGAAAATAAAACATCCTCAGATCTAGGAAAAGGAGTGCTTGCTGTGCGATCACAGAAGGCGTCGCTGCGGCAAGCCCTCCTGTCCCCACCTGCAATTCTGTTCACACGTGTGTCTCTCATAAAGTTGGCCAGGCACAAATTCTTATACTTTATTCCCATGCTGTATCCATTCATTAAATAAGCTCTTATCATGCTAGAATTTTCTGAAAAGCTCTTTGCAGAATACTGTGAAAGACATAGAATTGTCTAAAAAGATTCAGCATCTGCCCCTCAGCAGCTTTGCTTAAGAAAAGGAGGCAAAGTAACAACAGCGCATGGCAACTGCTATGTGAATTGACCCCACGCTGAAGTATTGTAGAAAATCCGCAAAAGGATTTAGCAGGACTCTTTCAGGTGGCAGTCAAGGAGACGGGAGCACCTCGGTTGGTTCTCCAAGACCAATGAAGCTTGGGTCAGAGGAAGGAAAGCAGAAGAAAGCCCAGAGGCCACATGAAAATGCAAGAAACGAGAACACGTAAAGTGTGCTTGGAATAAAAATGTAGACTAATTCGGTAGAGGTAGGTGATCTATGGGTCAGATGTCAGAAAGGAGAGGATAAGGAAGTAGCATTGATGAACACAGAAGCTCTGAAATGGGTAGAGATTGTTATCAGATATTCAACCTTTGGAAATTTACATTCACATACAGTTACCTAGAAAACTAGATTTACATAATTAGCACAGATAATGGAAAATAAGATGGTCACCAACTGTTGCGGAGGATATTGTAGCAAACAGCCATTTTAAATCGTATTTTTTCATTTTAGTAAACAACTTGAAATTTATATTACGAATCTTAAAATTATTCTTAGTTTTCTACGTAGTTATTGTGCTTCTAGTTCACTCAAAGAACATATTCCTAAATATTGAAAGAGCCTTTTCTTGCCCAAAGATGTGCATTGTACAATTATTTAAAGTAACGAAAACTCATTAATTTCTCAATAGAAAAGAGCTTAAACCATGATATTGTGATTCATGAAACAATAAGTAATTATTTTCAAAAGTTAATGTGAATGTAACATCTATATAAAACAAAGAAAATTATTATAAAATATGTGGGGGAAAAAACAAAAAATGAACGCTATTTGTGAGTCCAACTATGCAAAGAAATAAAACCAAAATAAAAACGGTTGTGATGGTGAAGCTCTCTGTTTTCCTTTTATCCTTAAACGCACATGAGGAAAGAAAGAACATCAACCAAAAATAAATAAATAAAGACCCCTTCCGTGACAGAGATGGGGAAGAATGAAGAGATCGTGCGTGAGGCTCTCTGCGGCTGCGTCACCGCGTCACGCCAGGGTACTGCCCGCCTGCGGCTGCGTCACCACGTCTCGCCAGGGTACTCCCTGCCTGCGGCTGCGTCACCGCGTCACGCCATAGTACTGCCTGCCTGCGGCTGCGTCACCACGTCACGTCGAGGTACTGCCTGCCTGCGGCTGCGTCACCACCTCACACCATAGTATGCCACGTCACCGCGTCTGGCCTGGGTACTGCCTGCCTGCGGCTGCCTCACCGCGTCACACCATAGTATGCCACCTGCGGCTGCGTCACCGCGTCATGCCGAGGTACTGCCCACCTGCGGCTGCGTCACCGCGTCTCGCTTGGGTACTGCCTGCCTGCGGTTGCGTCACCGCGTCACACCATAGTACTGCCGCCTGCAGCTGCCTCAACGCGTCAGGCCGACGTACTGCCTGCCTGCGCCTGCGTCACCGCGTCCGGCCGACGTACTGCCTGCCTGCGCCTGCGTCACCGCGTCCGGCCGACGTACTGCCTGCCTGCGGCTGCGTCACCGCGTCACACCCCAGTACTGCCGCCTGCGGCTGCGTCACCGCGTCACACCCCGGTACTGCCTGCGGCTGCGTCACAGCGTCACAGCCCGGTACTGCCTGCGGCTGCGTCACAGCGTCACAGCCCGGTACTGCCGCCTGCGGCTGCGTCACCGCGTCATGCCGAGGTACGGCCTGCCTGGACCTCCACACCTCCCTAAACCCCGCTAGTCCACTGCAAGGGAGGAAAGCACCCAGGAACCCGAGGGACAACAGGGGAGGAAATGGCAGACTTTGAGCCCATCCCCAGCGCTTCCGGAGGTGGAGGGAGGGGCATGAGGTCTAGGGAACTGTGCGGGGCTAAGAAAGTCAAGAAGCGCCCAGGGAATGGAGTGAGCTCAGGACTCGGAGGGTCCCCGCATCTGGGCCGGCTGCAGACAAGAGGGTTATTGAAAATCTGTAAGAAGCAGAGATCCCTGACCACCATCTCCCCTCCCCAGTCAGGTGGGACTCTGTTTCCTCTACCAGGAGACAGCAGTTCACCCTTCAAGGAATCACAGCTTGAAAAACAGCTTGGGAACTGGGTGAAGTTAACAGACTGCAGAGCCGTAGTCTGCCACCCGACGCCATTCCCTCTGCTCAAATTTCCTGACACTGACTCATGAGACCACCACCACCCTAACCAGGCGGAACACGGGAGGGTCGGAGCAGCCTGAGAGCAAAGCACAGAGACCAGAAGCAACTCCCCCAACCTCCATCAGCCTCTCCCAGTGCTCCCCCATCCTCCCCCAGTATTCCTCCAGCCTCTATCAGCCTCTTCCAGTGCTCCCCCAGACTTTATCAGCCTCTCCCAGGGCTCCCCCAGTTTCCATCAGCCTCTCCCAGTGCTTCTCCATCCTCCCTGAGTGCTCCCCCAGCCTCCAGCTTCTCCCAGTGCTCCCCCATCCTCCCCTAGTGTTCCTCCAGCCTCTATCAGCCTCTTCCAGTGCTCCCCCAGACTTTATCAGCCTCTCCCAGTGCTTCTCCATCCTTCCGCAGTGCTCCCCCAGCCTCCATCAGCCTCTCCCAGTGCTCCCCCATCCTCCCCCAGTGTTCCTCCAGCCTGTATCAGCCTCTTCCAGTGCTTCCCCAGCCTCTATTAGCCTTCCCCAGGGCTCCCAGTCTCCAACAGCCTCTCCCAGTGCTTCTCCATCATCCCCCAGTGCTCCCCCAGCCTCCATCAGCCTCTCCCAGTGCTTCCCCAACCTCCCCCAGTGCTCCCCCAGCCTTCATCAGCCTTTCCCAGTGCTTCCCCAGTCTCCCCCAGTGCTTCCCCAGCCTCTCCCAGTGCTTCCCCAGTCTCCCCCAGTGCTCCCCCAGCCTCTATCAGCCTCTCCCAGGGCTTCCCCAGCCTCTCCCAGGGCTTCTCCAGCCTCTATCAGCTTCCCCCAGTGCTCTCCCAGCCTCCCAGGGCTCCTGTGTATGCGTCTGTATGCATCGATGTGTGAGAGTCCACATAAGTGTGTGCCCATATGAGTATGTGAGTGTGTGTATGAGTGTGTGGGCGTCAGTGTGTGAGAGTTCACACGTGAGTGCATGTATAAGTGTGTGTGTGTGTCGGGTGTGGGTATACTGGTGTGAGTGTGTGTATGAGTGTGAGTGGGAAATCGTGTGTGTGAGACTACTGTGTGAGTGTGGGGATGTAAGTGTGAGTGTGTTGACAACGTGGCTTCCACTTCTTTCATTCTGATAAGTCAGGGAGAGACTACGGCTCACGGTGTCCGGTTTCCCATGAGAATAAAGGTTCCCTAGTGACGTGGGAAGTTCTGGGCCTGTCCCCTCTGTCCCTGTCCAACTCCCAACATAATGTGTATGTCCCCTCAGCGGCTGCATCTCTGCCTTGAGGTGACGAGCACACAGTGAGGACTCTGCCTTTTGCATTTGCCTTATACACACTCACTCTTCAAGACCTTCTGGTCAGTTCTGTTATCCATGAGTGACCCTTGGGCACATTATGAGATATTTTAACACAAAATAATTTCATGAGTATAAGAGTAAAGCCACATTTTTACTACCCAAAACAATCTAAAGATTTAATGCAATTCTTATCAAGATTTCAATGTCGTTTTTCACAGAAATAGAAAAATAATCCTTGGCCAGGCACAGTGGTTCAAGCATGTAATTGGGGAGTCTGCAGCAGGCGGATCACATGGTCAGGAAATGGAGACCATCCTGGCCAGTGCGGTGAAACCCCGTCTCTACTAAAAATACAAAAAAATTAGCTGGGCGTGGTGGTGCGTGCCTGTAGTCCCAGCTACTCTGGAGGCTGAGATAGGAAAATTGCTTGAACCTGGGAGATGGAGGTTGTAGTGAGCTGAGATTGACCCACTGCACTACAGCCTGGCGACGGGGAAGGACTCCATCTCAAAAAAAAGAAAAATAATCCTAAAAGTTATATGCAATCAGGAAAGCCTAAGTCTAAGCAATGTTGGGGACAAAGAACAAAGCTGGAGGCATTGCACTCCTTGATTTCAAAATATATAGTTACAGAAACCAAAACAGCATGGCACTGACATGAGAACAGACAGATCAGCCAATGGAACAGCATAAAGAGCCCAGAAATAAAACTAAACATTGATGGTCAATTGGTTTTCAACAAAGATGCCAAGAAGACACAATAGGAAAAGACAGTCTCTTTAATAAATGGTGCTGGGAACACTGAATATCCACATGCAGAAGAGTGAAATTGGTGCTTTAACTTACGCCACAAGGGAAAATTAACTCAAATTGGATAAAAGACTTAAACGTAAGACCTGAAACTGCGAAGCCGCTGGAAGGAAGCTTGGAAGAGACCCTTCACCCCATTGATCTGGGCAGTGATCGCTTGGCTAGGACGCCAAAAATAAAGGCAGCAAAAGCAAAAGTAAATAAATGTGACTGCACAAAACTAAAAAAGCTTCTGCACAGCAAAGGAAACAATTGACAGAATGAAGAAAGAACCCATGGATTGGGAGAAAAAATATATTCAAGCTGTGCATTAGCTAAGGTACTAATACTTAAAATCCATAAGGAACTGAACTCCAGAGGAAGAAAACAAATAACCCATTAAAAATGGGCAAAGGATCTGAATAGATATTTCTCAAAAGAAGACAGAAAAATGGCCAACAGATACATGAAAAATACTGAACATCTCTAATCATCAGGGAAATGCAAATTAAAACTGCAGTGAGATATCATCTCACACCTGTTAGAATGGCTATTATCAAAAAGACAAAAGATAAAATACTGGCAAGGAGAGAAGGCTACGCTTGTGCACAGTTGGTGGCATGTAAATTAATACAGCCATTATGAAAAACAGTGTAGAGGTTCCTCCAAAAACAAGCTGAACTGACATGTGATCCAGCAATCCCACCTCTGGGCATTTATTTGTAAAGATAACATATGGTTTAACGTGTACGACGCAAAGTGAGAGGTGTAAAAATTCATTACGGCTATTCAACACGTGTACAAAGCCGCTCACAGCAATTGTGTACAAAGCAATCATGTCAGTTAACCTAAGGCAGGATAGAAGAAGTGGCTAATCAGGAAGTCCAGACAGTTTCTTAAAGTAAAACTCAAACTCCAGACAAAACTGTGGGAAGTCCTTGAAAAAGCCTCATGGGCAGCAGATCACCACCCTGCCCTTCAATCCAGGGCCTCACACAGAACACCCACCGCAGCGCCATTGTGCCCTCTTTTGCAGCAGTGACTGCTCATCTCAGGAAATAGTGATTTCAGCACCCCAAATGACTTGAAAATTAAAAGGCATTTACTTACCACAGACTCTACTCATTGCCAAAATCATATCGTCGTACACTGAAAATGAGAAGGGATACGCACCATTACGACATGTAATTTTAACAGAAAGCCGCATTTTCAATGTTTAATTAAATGGATACAGGAAATTGTGATGTTCAGTTGAAAAATGAATCATTAAAATGGCAGTCTTTATCCATAAAAGGCTTATGTGTGCAATAAATCCTTCTAACTTATTCACTTTTAAACAAGGATCCAGAACGTTTTACTTAACATAAATCCAACTCTACATTTAACTGAATCACTGCTTCAGTGTTTCTATCATTTTAACTGCATTAGTAATGGGCTACTTGGCTTCTGATGATGGACCGAAATGACATTTCATATAAACCCAGAGTAATATCGTGCATTATTCTAAAACAGTGAAAAAACTCTGAAGGCAACCAAAGAACAAATATATTTTCTTGTACAGTGTTGCTGCTAAAGAAACAAGGTGTGCTATAGCTGAGGCTAGAGGTAGACCTGCCTTCAGAACACATCGCATCCTGTTGGTGAAAGGAATTTCTTGTTGGCAGAACAAAGGTTTTCTTTTACCTTTGCCAGCTATTTCAAGGATGGACGCATCTTGGCCTCTGTCATCTTTCAAGGTTGCCTTGTATTCACCATGGTCCTTCTTTGACAACTAAAAATAAAACACATTCCATATTTATGTAAAATCAATACAGCAATAGGAAGTGTAATAAACTCTAATACATTTTCTTTGCAAACCACTGAAGTTCAGGATGCAAATTAGAGGAATGCAGAATTTCGAGTTATTTGAAAGTGCCGTTTTTGTTTTGCTTTCGTCTTGTATTACTCAATGCCTGATACCTTTGGGATGAGCAGCTGACAGGTTCCCCTCTCCAGGTCAGGCGATGTCTCCGTTTCATATAGAACGTCATCCTTGAGCCATTTGAAAACGGTTTCTTTCTTGGTGTTTGCAACCTATGAAATAGAAATCTTAAGTTTAGTATGTAAATCATTCTGACTCATGAGAAAAAGAAAGTCTATTAGAATTTTAAATCACAGAGCCCCCTCAAAAAACCTTAATTTTTACTATAGACAGTCTCAGATGAAGGCTTATGGAAAAGCTGTCGCTCGTAATAACGTCAAACACATTTCTAAATTCCAGCTTCTAAAGTTATTAAGTCCTCACAGTTGCTCACAGAAGGACAAATGATTCTCGTCATTCTAGTCCATGAAATTAGAGGGCATAAAGATCTTTGGTCTATATGAAATGTCATTAACAAAGACAAGTTTTAAGCAATATATATAGGGATTTCTAAATAATATGGAATATTCTGAGGGTCTATAAAGCTGCTTGGCTACTGCTCTTTTAGCGGCATCACATTTCAGGTACAGGGACACAAAGGAAATGAAACCTTAACACAAAAAATGCCCACTAGAGGTGAGGACCTTCCCTTAACTGAAATTCCTCACAATTCAATCACTGGCTAGAAACTAAGCTTTGCGGACTCCGAAGATAAGTGAGCATTCCAATTCACATGCTCTGGCGTTCATCTGAGGGACGAGGAAGAGTTCATATTCAGCATGGCAGGATATACGAATCCCATCGGACTATACGAGTCTGACAATTCTACGTTCACATCCATGTGGATTCAAGAAGAGTGATGTTGATGACAAAAGATTGCAAATGATTCAACAGTGTGATCAGCTCTGCTAGGGTAACAGTACAACACAGAATTTCCACATGTGCTATGGGAAATGGCATCGTTCTTGACAGCACTGGGACTGAATCTCTGTGAAGCAGGGGTTTTGTCTGTTTCACTAACACTTGTCCCCAAGTGCATGGCTGCCTGCCTGGCACACAGAGGTTGTCCTGTCAATGTTTGTGGAATACACAGATGGAAGGTATCCCACTGAGCTCCTAAGTAGGGTCTCCTTCTAAAGTCAGAACCACTCCTTGATAACAAATCTTAGAATGGACTGTGGCTGAGGCTCCACGACTCTAGCACACGATCCCCTTTAACATTTCAAGATTTTCTTTGGTGTCTCTTTTCAATGCCAGTCTAATTGCTTACTGTCTCTTAAATCAATACTGTTTTCCCTTCCTCTCTTCTTCAAAGAAATTTTATATTGCTGGTCCCTTCCAATAAATGCCTTTCCAATGACCTTCAATTTCTGTTTTCTAAAAAAAAAATCTGTAATCAATCTCTTTGTCCTATAAGTGGGGGAGGCAGTTGTAATTCCCCAAAACAACTCATTTGTTTCTTCTCCGCACTCCCTCAACTTCTCTCTACCATAAACTCTTTAAAATATGGGCACCTAAACTGTACATGAATGTCTAGGAAAGATGATAACATCACTTCTTAGGCTACATATGGCCCATTCCTGACTCACGCTTCCTAAGAGTCAGTGCTAATTCTCCACTTCTGCTGTGTAACAGATGTTTAACAGATTTTCTTATGTTTATGATTGTGGTTTCTCTGTGTCTTAAACTTTTAAAAATGATTTTCTCTGAAGTTATAATGTGAATGTATCCCTGTATAAATTTTTCTCCATGTACTTTTTTCATGTAAATAATTTTTAAAATAACCATCTGCACCACATTATTAAATGAAAAACCATGTAGACAAAATGGTGCACAGAATCACAGGCTTGACAGGGACACAAGTATGTAAATCAAATGTATTAAATTGCACAAAAAAACCTCAAATCTCAAGTAATATTAGTTTTCCCAATATCTGTGTTTAAAGATTTATGAATTACTTTAGTCAGGGAACCTAAAATACTTTTAAATATTTATAGACAGTTCTGTCCCACTAAGATATCAGAGCCCATGGAAAGCAGAACTCGGGGGTCTCGCCACTGGCCTTGGGAGTGCACACACACGTTTTATGGCACGGTCAGAACAACAACAACAACAAAGAATAAACTGACGCCATAACCGAGTCACTCTGACTTGCTCTGGGCTTTGAGTTGCTGACTCCCTAAGGAACTGATTTTTGCAGTGCTGATGTCTACAATTTTGAGGAAACATACCTTTCTGCGTAGGGTAAATAATTGGAGAAAGTTGCTTTTCCAGCATAAACGGACTACGTACACAGGCTATCATCAGTCACCTGGTGGGTTTCTTCCCTTTAAGTATCCATTATGCTTTTCATTTGTTGAGCAAGACTTCTAAAGACCACCTCCCTTGCAGCTTCCTTGCAAGTAACCTTCTTCTCTTCTTTTATCAATGTTTTCATTTCTGAATCTTCCTTTTAAACATACTAGCGCAAGAAATTCACTACCAAAAATCTAAGTATTTAATAAATTTACCACAACCTTGAGTGTGTTTGATATTAAAGCCTTAGCTCTAGTTATCACACACACACACACACACACATACACACACACACACATATATATACAGGAAATCAAATTGCAAATTAATTACCAATACTGAGGATGATCAAAATAGTAAGAAAGGTTCGTTTCATCACACAAATTTCTACGAGCAACCTGCACCTATCTAGGGTGTGTTCAACACCCACCTAGTTCCAAACCCCCGTGCCCACCCTCCTGCAAATCCCTGTGCCCGGGTCCACTCCCGAGTGCACTGCAGACCTCTTCATGGCAGGTCCCCATCCAACGCTTACATGCATCAACGAGTTCGCACCCCAGTGTCCCCACCGAGGTGGCCCAGCGGAGATCACCAAGGCTTAGCCCTGCCTCCTCTCCATTTGTCCTGCTTGGCCTCACTTTCCTGCTCAACTTAGACAGCTGGTTGACCAACTAACTACAGTTAAGCAAGACCCAAAGTTCCTATTCCATCTTCCCTTCTTGCAACATCCATCCAGCAAGACCCCAATCATGAATCTATCCCCTGACTCACACCAGGGTCACCAGCCACATC